CAAGATGCTATAACACATTTTTACCTTCAAATGAAATGTTGATACATGTGGTAAGAAATTCTTCCTCTGATTACTAATTCTGAATGTTTTACTTAGCTTATTGGTGCAGCAAGAACCAAAACATACGTGCAAGAACATTCTGTAGTTGATCCTGTAGAGAAGACAATGGAACTTAAATCTACTAATGTAAGTTTGGCTCCCTTTTTAAATTTTGAACTGTCTGGCTTAATTTTTTCTCTCTTCTAGCAGACAGGTCAGTGAATACGTGATCTCAGTGTGGTTTAGGAAATCCTTGCGTATGTGCTGCATGTCTCTGCCCTGTCTGTACCTTCCTTAGCCCTGTTGTGCCAGTATGCTTCCTGGCCCCGGGATAGCACTCAGTCAAATGAATTTGGGATCATCTGCATATCATTATTATATCATTCTCAAGCCTTTTTAAAATAAAAAATAGGCAGCGAATAATGAAATTTACTATATTTATACAGAAATATTAGTAGCTTATTTGTTGTTGGCTTTGTTCTTTTTTTTTGGCCAGGGCTGGATTTGAACCCACCACCTCTGGCATATGGGGCCAGCGCCCTACTCCTTTGAGCCACAGGCACTGCCTGGTTTTGTTCTTTATATGTTCATAAGATTTTCAGTGGTATGTTAATTTTGAAAATGTTTTGAATCATCCTTTCCCATATGATTTGACTTTTTTTCCCCACTCTGTAGATTTCATTTACAAATATGGTTTCAGTAGATGAGAGACTTATATACAAACCACATCCTCAGGACCCAGAAAAGTAAGTAAAAAGTGCTTTAACAAAATTACTTTACAGGGCTTTTAATTTTTTTTTTTTTTTAATGAAAGTTGCGTCATCCAAAGAGTGAATATGTTTTGTTGCAGAACTATTTTGACTCAAGAAGCCATCATCACTGTGAAAGGAGTCAGCCTTAGCAGTTACCTTGAAGGACTGATGGCAAGTACCATATCTTCAAATGCTAGTAAAGTAAGTAAGGCTGCTTCTTAATTGTTTATTATTTCCTGGGAGAGCTGGTGCCAGATGTGTATGTGTTCTTGGAAGCTCTTAGCCACTCCTCAGTGAGAAGCTACAGCAGTAGGCAGGTACTTGCCCAGGCTCTGGAGTCCAGTATACCAGGGTTCACATCCAAGCTCTCTCTTACCAGCCTTTCAATATTAAGGTTAAGTTTACCTCTCTGTGCCTCAGTTCCTTGTGGAGCATGTCCATCTTATAGGATGGATTGAAGTAAATTAGACAATAAGAGAAGTCTGGCCAGGAACCAAGCATGGAGGAAATGTGCCTTGAAATTATCTAATGTTGCACACATATATATGTGCTTTATATATAAGAGGGAGTTTTTTTCTTTTCTAACCAATTTTTGCCTCACTGAGAATCACCCCCATTGAGAATGCATGATTTAAAACAAAGTAAGTTAGAGAAGGAGATGCCTGACGCACTGTTGTATAACACATTTGATACAGGCTTTCAACAGTCAGGGATATTCATAGATGCCCTCCCTGTGTTAGGGTGCTAGGCTAGACCACGGAAGCAGTGGGAAGCAAAACAAATGTGGTCCCTGCCCTTGTAGAAGAGGAAGGTGACGTTAATCACTTAGCATGTCATTAGGAAAAGAAAGGTACAGAAAGGCATGAGAGTGCAATTTTAATTGGTTTTTAATTATGGATGTTTCTGCTGAGTTGCAAATAGGGGGCAGATGAGTTGTGAGGGGTATACCGGGAAGGCATTTGGGTGGAAGAGCTGCAAAAGCAAAGGCCGCAGACAGGAAGCCTGAGGGCCTCTTTCTGTCCAAGGAACTGCATAGAGCACCCGGGGGGAGGGCGGAGTTGGGGACCAGATCCTGCAGTGGCTAGTGTGAGATTTTGGGTTAAATTGTAGACATGAAAAGAGATTTGACCTTACTTTCGAAAGGGGGGACCGCTCTAATCATGAAATAAGACATCTTGTCATGCAGTTGTAGATTCTTTTGAGAATGTCTTTTGCATACAAAATAAAAATCAGTTTATAGATCAAGCCAGTTGCTCAAGGCATTTGATGTTTGCTAAATAAGATTATAAAAGAAAAAGCAAAAACAAAAATGATCTGTATTGTGAGGTTTAGTTATACTTGTAATACTCCTTGTTACTTCCTGGTGTGCCGTTTATTTGATACATGCCTTTGCTTCACTTGGTAACAATAAATGTATTGGATTTTTTTAGGGCCGAGAAGCAATGGAATGGGTAATACACAAATTAAATGCTGAGATTGAAGAATTGACAGCTTCAGCAAGAGGAAGCATAAGGACTCCAATGGCAGCAGCAGCATTTGTAGAAAAATGATGAAAGTTTGTAGACAATGTTGGGTCCCCCAGGTCTCTACAAGCTCGCAATATATTTATTTGTTATTTAAAAAATACAACTATATTTTAGGTATTTTTTTTTAATAAGTTGATGTAAGGCTATGTGACTTTTCATCAAAACAGAGATGCAGGGCTTCTAAATAAAAGGGATCATCTGAAATTAGTGTTGTTTGAAATGACTGTCTAATTTTGAGGGTTCCAGTATCTATGTGAAAATTTAACACTTTTTTTTAAGTACTTGGAAATTGGTATTGACATTTAATCTCCTAAGGTAGAATTTTAAGGCTTTTTATGCACTGGAGCTCTACCTGGCTTTGGACCAACCCCAGAACAAAGCAGAGCTGCCTCTTCCGTACACACCATCACCTGCTGCTGAAAAGTTCAGCAGCTGCATGAGGGAACTCACTTTACAAGGAGAAATTATGGACTTTTAAAAGATAGTAATTTGTATAAAAGAACTTGCTCTGCTATAAACCACCATTAAAAACCACAGTGTTTTAGTTTTGTACTTAAATATTTTTGGCATGGAAATTACCTCTAAAGTAATATATGGCTCCAACAAAAGTATGATTTTATCATATTAAAGGGTACTGTATTGATTTGCCAAAGCTTTCTGACTTAGTAAAGGTGCTGTGTTACCTTCCTTGGATTTGTACTTTGTGATTTAGTATGCTGTGTCGTGGGCTGGTTAAGTGAAAAAATAAAGTCATTACCTGAGTTTTGCAGCACTCTAAACTTAAACAGAACAGCTGTTCACATCTTTTAGCAATTCACATTTGCCTAACTTATAAATTGCCATGTGTCAAAATCATGGTTTTGTAATTGCTAAGGCATGATATGTCAGGTTATTTGAATATAATTACTTTTTGAAGTAATTGTGACCACAAAACATCTTTTTTACATGAAGAGCTGTACATCATTTGAAATTACTCAAATGATATCTTGATCTGCAGTGCAAACCGCAGGTACTTAATGTTTTTAATAATACGGTGCCACTGTGAGAGGTGGGGGTGGTGAGAAAGAACAAAGAATAATTGGGGGGGGGAGGATTGGCCTAAACTAACCACTAAGTGAATTGCACTGCAGCTTTTATTTATGAAAAAATCCTTATTTTGGATGCCAGAGGGCTGCTGCAAACTGAGAAACAATCCAGCAAATGTACTTGGCTTCATATTTTGTAGCAGACAATGATCAACTACTAAATAATATCTTTGATATGTGCATTTGTAGTACACAAAGTATATTTGTTAAAAGGTGATTGATTAGCTGTTGCCGTTATTTTACAATGCTTAATGAGATAAACAAGTCAGATTTCCTATAAAAGAGACCAGTTAATTTGTGTACATAAACCACAGAAATAATATAACTATTTTAAAACTGTTTTTCTACTTAAAATATTGTTCAGCTTAGGACTTCTTAGCACATTTGTAAAAGCAGGTTAGGTCCGATAAAGTTTCTGATTTTCCTTTAGTAACCAGTGATGGTTTCTTACAACCAAAAAAACATTCAGCAAAATAAAACATTGCTAAATACTAATATTTGATAAAGGTTGCTTTGTATAATTTCTGTTAATTATACTTGTCCTGAAAAGGGTGTAATGCCATAATGATAAAAGAATTAGAAACAAATCTTTATCCTTCGTTTGATGTTTTAAGCTCTGATCTAATAAAATCCTATAAATTATTTTCCAGTGCAGTTACCTCTTTTTACATAACTAGTAATTCATACCTGTTATCTGTAAAACATAAATAAATGGTAAGCAAATGCATTTAAGGGGACTAAACTGGAGTAAACTCTTCATAAATAAAACTTGGGCTATTGACCACCCAACCCTATTTAATATTAAAAATGAACTTATATGAATTAAGGGAAACCATTCATCTTAATAAAACTTTTAACTTTAATGTTTTTCGTGATTATAATTTTTTAAATAAAGGTGAGGAGCAAAAACTCTTCTTCCTCAATAAGCAAACACTTCAGCCGCTAAACTGTGTGCCGACACCGCGTGCGAGGTTAGCTGTGTTCTGAGTTAAAGGCACCGCACCCGATGCCGGCCAGTTCCCTGTATGTTTGCAGCTCCGCGCCAACCTCGGCCGCTGTTTTTTTCCTCTCTGCCTTATCGCGCATCGTAGGCCTTGTCCTAAAACTAACAAATGTTGGGGAATGGGCATGCCTTTTGGCAGAGGGTCTGCTGTGGTTTACAGTGTTTTATTTTTCAGTGCAACTGGGGGGAAAGTAAGGTTCTTAGTGCTTTTCGAAATCTCAACTCTCAGGACACGGTAGTCCACAAAAGCCGGCCCTCCGCGGCGGCCTTGTCCCCACCACCCCTAGTGCTCGACTCCCACCCCCACCCCCCAAAAAAAACAGGGCTCCGCAACCACAGCCTGGGGAGCTGCTACAGCCCTCTTGCCCCAGCCGCCCCCGCTGGGGTAACTACGGAAGCCCGGGGGGGCACAGGCCTGGGGCGCTAGCGGAGCCAATGGGCACGCTAGGCCGGCCGTCCCGCCCGGGGATTGGTACCCGCGGTCCGGGCTGCGCGCGCCCATTGGCTCCTGTGCCGGGGGGCTTCCGCGGCGGGGTAGCAGGGGCCGAGCGGGAGGGCGGGGCGGGGTAAGAGGCGGCGATTGGCAGGTCCGTGGGCCCCGCCTCTTCCGTTTTTCGGGCCTGACCTTCCTGTGTTGGGCCGTCCGGCTAAGCCGACATTGAAGGTGTACTCGCGATTCGGCCCGACGCACTTCACTCTCGCGACATAATGGTGGCGTACTGGCGACAGGCCGGACTCAGGTAGGCCCAGGCCTCCAGAGAGAAGGGCGCCGGGAGCACGGCCCGCCCACAGCCCCCTGTCGGGAGGTCACGCGGGGCATGGCATGGTGCTGCGGCCCGCGCGTGACCAGGGCCCGTGGGGTCCACCCGCTGGGCCTGGCCTCGGGCGCAGCCGCGCCAAGATGGCGTCGCTGTGGACAACACAGGCGCGAGGCGCCCGAGGCCGTGGGGCACGCGCCAGGGTGTAAAGCGAGTCTGCGCGCTTCTGCTCCCGGGGGCAGCTGCGCCTCCGACAGCTGACTGCGAAAACCTGGGGCAAGGGGAGCTTGGCCCATATGGAGCAATTGTTAGAAGAGGCCTCAGTCCTTTTCTTTAAGAATTATGCGTGACTTTTGTCCTCAAAATAATATTGTTATCTAAAATTTGGGAAATAGAAGGGCGTGGAGATTTCTCTTGCTACTGCGTATAGTCACTGTTAGCATTTTGGCCTTTCCAATATCGAGATGGATTCTTTCATAATGTTATGGGTGGGATTTTTTATCTTAAGTTAGCGCCTCTTGATCTCAGGTCACCTTCTCAGTAAAAGGAGCGAAGGAGTCAAAGCCTCTGGTAAACTATAAACAACTAAATATATACATAGGTGAGCGGTGGCTCTTGGGGAGCAAGTGTGGAACCCATTTGAGGACAGATATCTGGGGTAAGGGGAAACCACTGGTCTAGGTATCACACCTGATTACTTTGCCTTTCCACCTGGATTGACCAACAGGCGGCACACCTGGTTAGTTGACCAGCTAGAGTAACAATTTCCACTGGTAACATTTTGTGGGCATATATGACCACCCCACAGCAACTGAGCAACACAAGAATTTCCTGACTTGTAGAAGTCAAGCAAAGTTTTGAAAAATTGGAAGGATGGCAAATAGTCCCAGGAGTAGATACCACTTATTAAGTAATCTACTGCGTGACCCATGCTTTTTCACACTTTGTCTTTGCTCCTCCCAAACCACCAGCGAAGCAGGTCTTATTATCCTTTTATTCTATTGTTTCTACAGGTGAATAAAGAAGCTGAAAAGATTGAACAGCCTTAAGGTCACTCAACTAGTACGAGTGGAAGCAGGCATTGGAGCTCTTACCTCTGACTCCCCAGTAATAAATTCTAACATGAAAAAATAGACAGCACTCCCTCCCTTCCTGTTTTCCAAAAGTGTGAAAAGTGATCTGACATCTTTTGGAAAATAAGATGTTGATGGGAGTCCATCTACCAAAAAGGAAGCAGGTTTTAAATTTTGCCAGAATTGATGATGTTCTAAGGACTTTCCTGTTTAATTTAGAAACCTTGATTAGGAGGTATTTTCAATGGCAAACTTGTGAGACAGAATCCAGTATTCTCAGGAAAGCCTTTAAATAATTTAACAGAGAACTGTTTTTATTCTGAATAGTTTTTTCTCTTTTAATTATACATGCCTTACCTTGCAAGAATAATATAATTAGAGGAAAGTTTTGAGTAGAGAAATAGGAAGAAAATCATTCACATTACACTCTTTGTCAACATTGTGGTCTATTTCCTATGCTGTGGGATTTATGTATCTTTTATTTTAAATTAACGGACACTGAAGAGGGAACACTATACAGAGAAGGAAAGTCAAAGGTCATGCATCCAAACACTAATACTTGGATACATTTCTTTTCAGTGTTCTTTTTCTTTGTATAGATTCCTTTTGGCATTAGTCATGTTTAAATCCAGTTCTACAGTACTGTCTAACCAAACCAAAATTAAAAGTATAAGAAGAAAAAAAAAGTACAGGAACACACCTGTCTGGCTGGATTATTGATAACTTCCTCTCCTTTTCTTCCAGCTACATCCGATACTCCCAGATCTGTGCAAAAGCAGTGAGAGATGCACTGAAGACAGAATTCAAAGCAAATGCTGAGAAGACTGCTGGCAGCAATGTGAAAATTGTGAAAGTGAAAAAGGAATGAACTGTAAGTTCCTGATTTATTCAGAAGAAGAGTTGCATGTTAAGTTTTTAAAACACCATAAAGATCAAAGTAATTTTAGTTTTAAGTTCTGTTCATTTTTCATTCAATCAGTACATTTACAAGTTAGTGGGATAATAATTTAAAGCATACAGGTTATAGCAGTCCCATGGCATAATAAAAGAATGTCCTTCGGCTCTGACAAGCAGAAGTAATTGGCACATTGATTTTCAGTTCATTTGGCAATGCTTAGGTAAAGAGGTGTCTTATTTTAATTAGACTTGTTTCATTTGTCTACACAAAATCAAATAATTTGGAGGATAAAATCGCCACTTTTGTAATTGCTGTTGGAGTTACATAACAGTTCAGGAACATGAAAAATTACAGTTTTTTGTATTTTTATTTCCCCCACATCTGCTAATGTTCTCACAAATCACTGCTTCCTGAACATAAGGGCTACAAATACAGGCAAGGGTCCTGCTATTTATCAAGCAGTGAAACCTGCATGATCCTGCAGTGAATACTGTTTTGCTAATTATTATTATTTTACCTCTCTGAAGATGTTGGTGATATAAAGTTAAATTCTCACGTAATGAAAAGACAGTTCTGTACAGTTGATAAGTTCATACTATGGTGCTACAGAGTACAAGAGTGATTTGATCCCTAAGATACTTTTCTTGATATTGTTATTTCAAAGATAAGTAAGGCAAGTTATCTGAGAGATGTTTTTCTGATTTAATTTTCTTATTTTACTTTTAAAAAGCTTCAGATCTGCAGTAGCACAGAAACGTGACAAATATTAATCCGTTGGCAGCTTGAGCAAATTTACTTATTGGAACTGTGTCCCCTAAGCATTTTTCATTTTTGTTTTGAATTAGTAAATCTTTTATTACAAGATAGAGATGTGGCATTTTGAATTTAGCCCTTTTTCTGAGGGCTCTGTCTAATCTCATAGTTCAGAATAATGAGACCTGGTTTTCTGTTGGGTTGAGGTTTTTTTGTTTTGTTTTGAGACAGAGTCTCACTTTGTCTCCCTGGGTAGAGTGAGTTGGCATCATAGCTCATAGCAACCTCAAATTCTTGGGCTCAGGTGATCCTCCTCCCTCAGCCTCCCACGTAGCTGAAACTACAGAATCTTACCACAGTGCCCAACCATTTTTAGAGACAGGGTCTCGCTCTTTTTCAGGCTAGTCTTGAACTCCTGAGTTCAAGCGAGCCACTTGCCTCAGCTTCCCAGAGTGCTGAGGTTACAGGTATGAGCCACCGTGCCCAGCCAGGGTTCTTCTGTTTTAAAAATGAGCTGAGAAAAATCACTTCACCTTTCTCTGCAGTGGTCTGAGCTAGACTCTGCATCTAACTCCCTGACTTTGCTGTGTCCTTGAAGTCACAAAGTTGTGTCCAACCCTAGTAAACAAAGCATTGGCTCCTCTGTGTTATGGCCCTCCAGGATAGAGACCCTATCCCATTAGCACAGGGAGATTTCAGTGTCTTTTAAAGACAAAGTAGTTCCATCATTGTTAGGAGAGTTTTTAATTTCATTTAGGGAAGTGTGTGTGTTCAGCTAACGCTGTGAACTCAAAACCAGCACTTTTTATGTCTGAGCTTGCCCCGGTCATGTGAATTAAAGCCACAATTATGTTTTACAGTTACGGAAGTTATTTCTCACATTCATGTTGGATTTTTAAGAAAACACAAAGAACTAGCTAGCAACTGTTGCATTTTCTTTTTCCCTCCTAGACCCTGCATGAAATGCTACATTTCCAAGGTGAAGATGTGTGGGCATATGCTATGGCAGATTGAAAACAATCTCACATGATGGAAAAAAAATACCTGTCTTGTTCATAAATTGACAGTGTCAATAAACTGAAGTATGCTTCACTCTTACTTTTGTTTTTTAGTTTCTGTCAGGCTTTCTTTCCTTGAGGAGTATCTGCATAGCTGCAGCTATTGTGAAAGTACATAGTTATGGCCATGTGAACCAGGGTTTCTCCAAACAGGGGAGGGCATATTTAATATTTAGGGATCAAAGGGATATGGAAAACATTTTGGAAATGCCCCAGAATGGAAAGTTGTTTTTCATGACATTAATTGGTGATCAAAACTAAGAGACCATCATTGAGGCTCTATCATCCCTTATCTTTGAATTGCAGAGTCTTGTCAGAATAGTAATTGGTTGTTACTCCCTTCATCGTTTTGTCTGAACAGCAGTATCCCCAAGCAGTGCTGCTTAGCCAGTATCCTAAATGAAAATAATTACTAAAAGCATGGATTAAAAGAACAAATTGTATGCTCATTTTTGATTATGTACTTAAAACCTGTAGAGAAGAGCTATTAATGTTAGAATTTAAGCACAAAATGCTTTTCACATTATTTTATAAATGAATCTATATTGGGTAGTGTTTCTCATAGGAAATGAGGCAAAGCTATTCAATAACTTGCTTATTGAGTTAATGGCCAAACTGAAATTAAAATCTAAGGTTCTTGACTGCTGGTCTGAGGTTTGTTGATTCCAGCAGTTCGGTGCTGTTTGTGTGGTGATTCATTCATTCATTGCATATTTAGGGATGAAAACTTGTTGCAAGTTTTTGTGTTTATATTGCTTTGAAACTTGGAAGCACTTGGCCAAGTAAAACATCATTGAAAATTTAACTGCTTAATTTTAACTGTTTTTGGAGAATGGAGAAATACATTTGAGCAGGAAATTTTGAAACACTGTTCTAGGGCCAGTTCTTACCATGGTATTTAAGCTCACAATAATTTATTAGGGACAAGCCCAAGCTGAAGAAAATGTCTTTGTTCTCCACCTCTGTGAATGACTTACTGCCCCGACACTTGACCTTCAGTTTTACTGAGATCTCAGCACAGGACATGGAAGGAGAAGCAGCAGATTGAGTGGTAGAGCTGAGCCCCTGGCGTCCTTTACTTCAGGGCTGTCATCTTGATGTTCAGAAGTTAAGGCACCTTAGTTTAGTGCTATGGTCCCCAAGGTAAAGTATGAGGAAGTGTCTCCCTTTACAGGGACAGGAATAAATGAATCACCTTTTGATACCAAATAGTAACTAACAGGCAAACAGCTAAATTATTTTCAGCTAAGTAATTAGAAATAAGTAATTTAGTAGGGAAGTAAATAAGATAATTAGAAGTAAGACTTTGGGACAAGACTTGTGATACGGTAAAAGGAACAATAAAAGACAAATTTCCAGTCCAGCTGAGATTCTTTGAGGCTCTTTTTCTGATGAAATAAACTATACTAGCTGGCAGGACAACTGTGCCCAGTGATGAGGGGACCCTGATCAGACCAACTTGTGGGTGTTTTACTAACAAGTGGGGACAGTTAGAGGGAGTCAGTTAATCTCTTCATTTGTGTAGTCCTTGTGTGCAAAGGGAAGGAATCAGACCAGCTCTAAAATTCTACAATTCTGCTGTCCCTGTCTCCGAGAGACCAGTGTCGCCGTAGCAACCATACTGCTAAAGGAATGAGCACTTCAAAATCAGAAAGGACAGATTTCTCTTGGTTTCTAGTTATTATTTTTTTAATCTATTTCCACCATATGAAAGAGTAGGACGGTGGGATGCACTTTGAAATATTTTTAACTACTCAAATTCATCAGTCTGGGTTGTTAGGCTCCAAGAAAAGGAATCTATGTGTCTAAAATAAAGCAAGTTAGCCACTTAAAATTGAACTTTTTTATACTTTAATGATTACTATTGAGCAAACAAAAATCTTTACAGTAACATAAGTCAGCAGAAGTTTTTTTGAGGATTTAAACCTCTTATCTTTCCTTGTATCTATTTAATTGCCTTTTTAGCTTTGAAAAGGAAGGAGCCAGAGGAAGCATATATATTAATCTTTATATAATCACAAGCTGTAAGTCTTTTTAGCATCTCAGGAAATTTTTAACTAAAAACTAAGCGTATAGGTGCAGTTTCTCACTACATTCAGTGCTTCTTGAACCACAAGCAGAAAGTGTTTAAAACATTTTTTTTTTTTTGGCTTTGTATTTCTTAAATTTTGTAAATAGAAGGCTTGTCAGTGATACCGATGGCAAGGCCTAATTTTCTCTTGGTGCATTCTAGTTTCCTTGTGATGCATGTGGGAAAAGAGTGAAGTTTCTCAGAATGAGCAACTGGCATCCATCCACCTGCTATTTTATTATCGCCGATTATAAAGCAAATCAGGAGATGACAACCTAGTTGTTGCCTGCAAGTAACCGTTTTCTGCAGTGAGGGTGGGAGCATTCTCCCATGACCTTCTATCCATGGATCAAACAGTATAGCTCAGGGGTAATTCAAGGAGGCCTTTAGAACCCTTAGAGTGCTGGAGGGGATGGCAGTGCCGCGTGTCAGAACTAGGTAAGCTGCAAGTAAGTTATGCAGGCCTTGATTACACTCTTCTGTATTTGTTCCTATTGTAATGTGAGCAGATTAAAATTGTGTGACGGTTAAAGCTGTGTCATCATGCAAACATTATGGCAACTTCTGCAAATTAATTTGAACGGTAAAAGTTCTCTAATGAGACGATGTCCTCCACAGCCGATAAGGACACTGCAGCCGAGGCTGCTCGCTTTCCCACGTTTGAACAGTTGCCGAGCCAACTGGGCACCTGTTCTCAAAGGGCAAAGCTGCAGAGCGTTTGTGGGGTGATTATTGAATAACAGTGAAAAGGGAACTTCAAAATAGCCTTCAAAAGGAAAACCACAGATGATTATTAATGAATACCTGGACTCTAACACTAATAAGAATCTTAAAATATGCAAGTACATAGCGTTACAAGCTGACTATTCAGAAATGGAGATCAGAGCACTGGAGTTGGAGTTGTTTAGTTTTGTTTGTCTTTTTTTTTTTTTTTTGGTTTTTTAGTCAGGTATTTTTGTGGAGAGGACTGACCGTGACTTTTCTTTCTTCTTTCTTTTTCCAATTAGTGTGTTGAGGTGTAGGCCAGGGCTACAGTTTCCGAGTGGGCGCTGACTCATTTACCTCGGCCCCCTCGCCCCCTCTTACTAACTAGCGGCTTGTCAAGAGGCCGCCAAGCACAGGAAGCAGCAGGTTGCCAAGCAGTGTTCGTTAAGACAACAGAACATGAGGTAAAGGTCTTAGTAGCCCCAGGATGCCAAGTAAGGGTTCCAGGGTACTCATCAGTGCCGGTAAAGCTTAAAAATTTACATCCGCTGTGATGGCTCTGTGCAAACCGACAGGCGTAGTCTGTGGGCCTGGCACAGGGCTCTGCATACAGTAAACTACCTTATAAATACTTTAAAACAAAGGAAGTGCTTGGCAGTAAATTCACTTTGGTATTAAAAAGAAAAAGCTAATGAGTGTGCCTAGCACATAGAACTCTTCAAGGTTAGTGAGCGTCATTAGAAGACCCTGACGCCAGGAGCCACTTCCCCCACCCTCTCCCGCAGCCCCGCATCACGGCTAAGTAGGAGTGCGGACTCCAGATTATTCACCGCGCGGTGGTGAAGGGAAAGTGCCACGGAAACGGCTGCCCAGACCCCGCACACGGCCGCCCGCGGTCAGTGCCCCTCAACTTTGGGTTCCATTTCTGCCTCTCCCACGACCTCTTCGTTCTCCTCCAGAACTGCTTTGGCATCTTGGAACTGTTGGTACTCGGAGACCAAGTCGTGGATGTTACTTTCCGCTTCCCCAAACTCGTTTATGTCCATCCCTTCGCTGGTGTACCAGTGCACAAAGGCTCTCCTCTTGAACATGGCCGAGAACTGCCCCGAGACCCGGCCGAAGAGCTCCTGGATGGCGGTGTTGTTGCCGATGAAGGTGGCAGCCATGCTCAGCCCCCGGGGCGGTATGTCGCACACGGCCACCTTCACGTTGTTGGGGATCCACTCCACAAAGCAGCTGCTGTGCCGGGTCTGCACGGAGAGCAGCTGCTGGTCCACTTCCCTGGTGGACATCTTGCCCCGGAAGATGCAGGCCACGGTGAGGTAGCGGCCACGGCGCGGGTCGCAGGCAGCCATGATGTTGCGGGCGTCGAACATCTGCTGCGTGAGCTCGGCCACCGACAGTGCGCGGTACTGCTGGCTGCCCTGGGCCGTGAGGGGCGCGAAGCCCGGCATGAAGAAGTGTAGGCGGGGGAAGGGGACCATGTTCACCGCCAGCTTGCGCAGGTCCGCGTTGAGCTGGCCGGGGAACCGCAGGGAGGTGGTGACCCCGCTCATGGTCAGGGACACCAGGTGGTTCAGGTCCCCATAGGTGGGCGTGGTCAGCTTCAGGGTGCGGAAGCAGATGTCGTAGAGCGCCTCGTTGTCGATGCAGAAGCAGGCATCAGCGTTCTCAATCAGCTGGTGGATGGACAGCACCGCGTTGTAGGGCTCCACCACCGTGTCCGACACCTTGGGGGACGGCATGACGCTGAAGGAGTTCATCATGCGGTCCGGGTACTCCTCCCGGATCTTGCTCATGAGCAGCGTGCCCATGCCGGAGCCTGTGCCGCCACCCAGGGAGTGCACCAGCTGGAAGCCCTGTAGGCAGTCGCAGCCCTCGCTCTCCTGCCTCACCGCCTCCAGGACGCGCTCCAGCAGCTCCGCACCCTCCGTGTAATGGCCCTTGGCCCAGTTGTTGCCGGCCCCGGAGTTCCCTGTGGCCACAAAGAATAAGGAGGGCAAAGAAAGGTGATGGGAGAAGGGAACCACTAAGAGGCATCCCTCTCTCCTGGGGAACCTTCTAGAATACTTACCGTGAACGAAACTGTCGGGTTGAAAGAGGGCTCCTAATTTGCTAGATCGAATGCTGTCCATCGTCCCAGGTTCCAGGTCCACCAAGACTGCTCGGGGCACGTATTTCTTACCTGTGCAGGAAAGTGGAAAGAAGTCAGCAAACTGTTGTTTTCCTAAAAGCTAATATCTCATCAAAATAGTCCCTTGTCATACTGAGTTGAGACAAAAAACAACCCAAACCATCGGTAATTCTAGAGAGGGGTCTTTGGTAGATAGCAGATTCGAAAACCTCCCATCGTATTTTTTACCTTAACAGTCACACAAATCTATAAAATACCTAAAAAACACTTTACCCATCCTTGCTTTGTTTGTTATATTGCTAATGCCAGCGATGCTGTCCTTCCTGTTGGAAATGATTCTGGTTTTCATTAAAAAAAAAAAAAAAAAAGGAGGGTAGGTGTCTAAGCTGCTCGCGTTAAGATGTGTGCCAGGGTTGCGGACCCGCCGCTCTTGGAGCCTGTGCCTGTCTCCAGGGCCTTCTGCACTCTCTCTGCCTGTGTTCCCACTGGCTGTTGGACCGTGGCTCCCAGCCTACCGTAGGCTTCATTGTAGTACACGCTGATTCTCTCCAGCTGCAGGGATGAGGCCCCTTGGTTGCTCCCAGCAGAGTCAATTCCGTGTTCCTCACCAATCACCTCCCAGAACTGAAAGCAAAGGATGGTGTAGACAACCCTCAAAAAGGCTGTGTGACGCCCCCACCCTACCCCCAGGTGCTCTTTGGACATTTGCACGAGTGACCACCCCATGGCCTAATACATGGGTCGCCTCTACTAAGCATGTGTATCAGCATTTTGTACGCACCTGGACTACTTAAATAAATGTCAAACACATAAAATAAGAAATTAGATTCTACTCCTATTAAATTCAGGCCATTGTTTACATTAAAGCTGTTGTTTTAGAGTTTCACATCAGACGATGTATCTCTAATTTCTCCTTATAGTACTCCAAGCTAGCTAAATGTAGATTCCACTTAAAAAAATAAACAGTTTCATATTTCACTTTGGAGACTTGTTTTCATGAAGTTTAACCAAAAGCCTATAACTAGGACTTCTATGCACAATTTTAAGTAATGTGCATTTTTAATGATCAAGTATACACACAATTCAAAATTACACATAGCTGGGCAGCGCCTGTGGCTCAAAGGAGTAGGGTGCTGGCCCCATATGCTGGAGGTGGCGGGTTCAAACCCAGCCCCAGCCAAAAACTGCAAAAAAAAAATTACACATAGCTGTTCAATTCTAACTATTTAAAACATTCTGCACTTGGATTCACATAACAGTATACTGAGCTCTTAATATGGAAATAGTTACTAGGGGGTAAGTTTGAACCTGGCCTTGGCCAAACTGCAACAAAAAAATAGCCAGGAGTTGTGGTGGGCACCTGTAGGCCCAGCTACTTGGGAGGCTGAGGCAAGAGAATTGTTTAAGCCCAAGAGCTGGAGGTTGCTGTGAGCTGTGACACCATGGCACTCTACTGAGAGGGACAAAGTGAGACTCTGTCTCTTAAAAAAAAAAAAAAAAAGAGTTACTGAGATAGGTCCTTTTGATCACCCTGGAAAAGCACATATTAAAAAGCAATAAGCAATAAAGCCAGGCTCAACCCTGTAATCCTAGCACTCTGGAAGGCCGAGGCAGGTAGATTGCCTAAGCTCACAGGTTCAAAACCAGCCTGAACAAGAGCAAGACCCCACCTGTAAAAATAGGTGGGCATTATGGCGGGTGCCTATAATCCCAGCTACTGGGGAGGCTGAGGCAGGTGAATCACTTAAGCCCAAGAGTTTGAGGTTGCTATGAGCTGTGACTCCATAGCACTCTACCAAGGGCAACAAAATTAAAACTTTGACTCAAAAAAAA